TCGTAATTAGTACCCCCAAATACCCCGAAAGTGATACCCATATTCCATTTATTTGAAAAGTCGTGTCCGCCATCTTGGATTTAGAAATAAATGCCATATTCGTAATTAGCACCCCCAAATACCCCGAAAATGATACCCATATTGTATTTATTTCAAAAGTCGTGTCCGCCATCTTGGATTTAGAAATAAATGCCATATTCGTAATTAACACCCCCAAATAATCGTGTACTTACTAATTTCGTCAAACGTAACGTCCTTTCCAGCTTTCTACCAAACTTTTTTACAAATATCAGAAATTCAAGTGTTGTTATTACAAATTCGTTCGTGTTATGAATTCTGAGAGTCGTATTCCAGAACTCTACTCAATACTCAAGTCAGGACTTGAGTATTGCAGTGAGCACTGAAAATCATACTCAAGTCCTTGCCATAGGGTCGTATTTCCAGTGCTTGAAATCATACTCAAATCTGCTCAAATCCTGACTTGAGCATTGAGTAGAGTTCCGGAATATGACCCTGAGTGACCTTGTACTTGTGCCATCTTGTGAGCACTTTAAGAACTACGGTGTAAAAACGTGACAACGAAATCAGCTGTTCATAGACCACGACGCCATTTTATTCCACATAAAGTGTATTCATTGTCGCACACAAGCAAATATTTGGTCGATTTTAATTGATTTTGAAATGATTACAAATATCTCATCATTGGACTTTATGCGTTAGTTTTGGTATATTTGGTATATTATCGCATTCAGAAAATCAATGGTTTTTTTATTGGAAATGTAATAATATGTATAAAAGAGCCGCAGTGACGAAAATATCGAATTCATTTTGTATAGAATAATTAATATTTCCATTAGCGCAAAGGTAGAAAATATGTCAGTAAAGGTATTAAACAGTAATGTTTGATTCGTATCTCGTTTGGTCCAGCCATCCTGACGAACATCCTCGAATCCAAGGTTATAAAATAAATTAAAAAAGTGACATCATTAGCTGTCAGTTTTGACGGATAGAATGAAATGTATTTCAAAAATGTGATTTGTTTTTCGATGGAGCCATAGCTTTTAAAAGAAGAAGACTTCAAATAATATAACTGACTAGTATATAGTAATCTGTGTAATATAGTGCGAGGAAATTTGTTCACAGAACTAGTGAAAATAAGAACTGTGTGGGTTTTATCGATTTTTACCGCGCTTTTTTAAGTACGAGTTACATTTTAGAGCTTTTCAAAGGGTTTTTAGGTAAGTCAGTATATATTTATGATTTGAAAATGCTATTTAAATATCGTGGTGTATTGTTCGCTTACCTCGTGAATACATGTCACTTCCCTGGTCTGTATTCCAATGCCACAAGACTTAGTACACTGTGAAAATTCGGTATAATTCCATCTGGGAGGGCACGGGTGATCATTGCAGGTTCTAACTCTGTTCTCTGGTTTCGTCAAAGGGTCACACATGTACGGTGACGCGTTTTTGCCATCTTCATCTCTGACGCATTGTATTATTAGTTCCTGGGAAAGATAGATTGCATTGTGCTACAGCTAAATGTTTTTTTTTTAATTTTTATTGAATTGATATAAAATTTTTTTTTTGTCAAATTATTCCACTAGTTTGTTATTAATACAAAGATCAAACACTTAGAAAAAATTCCTTCGATCCGGCCGGACGTCTTCTAGCAACCCGTGCCAGACACTATGCCAACTAAGCCACGGAACGAACCAGTGGACATCACGAATTTTTTTATGTGCTTCATTGACCTACCAACAAATGGGCGTCAGGTCCAATACAAAAACCATGGAAAAAATGTCCAAAGTCCTATATAAACATGACATGTGAAATTCATATAAACTAGAACATTTAATTTAAATTGTAACGTCATTGCAATACTGTCAAATTTTGCTTGTAACAATTTAAGGGCCCAAAAACACCAATTCAGCTTCTATTGGAAACTTAACAAAATGCGCTATATTTAGCTTTGACTGAAAAATATTTGAACAGAAGAGTAATGGAGTAGCCTTTATTGTAAATATTAATTAATTTTTATATGTATTATAATGTGGAATTTTGTACAAATTCACTTAAAGAAATAATAAAAAGTTGGGCAGATACATACATACAAATGTAACAAATATGAAAATAAGAGTGTACTATAACAAATGACCCAATATTCCAAGTAAACTTAACTCAAATGTCCATAATTCCGAAAACTGAATTATAATAAAACCATTACGCTTTCAAGTAATTTTGATGCTTTTCACATAGACAAAATTAGCTTTTGTTGCGTAATATTCCTAAAAAATACATTTGACATAATGAAAATTCGACCTAAACGTTGTTTGGGGCAAACATATTTTCTGACTTCTGATAGGTAATCTCAAGCCTTAAAACAAGTACAACAATATTTTATTAGTTATTGTTAACGTTTAATAAAAAATCATTTTAAAAATAAGACCAAAATCAAAGCGACTCTATAGTTTCTTTGTTCTAAATATTTCAATCATTTGTGGTTCGAACAATTGAAAACTGACCAAGAAGTTTATATAAGCTTTTTGAAATTGATGTAATGAGTCTCTTTCCATCTTTTGTACATGCAATTTGTAGAAAAAGGCCAGTTAGCTATATGATTATTTTGTTTGCTTTTGTAATTTATATTTACGATTCATTTATATATAAATTAAATACTATACAACTGTACAAAACCAAACTTTTAAGTCATGATTATGATAACACAATATATTTGTTTAGTGATACAATATATGATACAATATCCTGTTTTTACACTTTACTGCAGTAATTTTTACAAGTTATTATTATATAGTACTGCATGATTGATAACCGCACTGTCAGTCGAACAAACGAAGACTGTTGTGTGATTGATGCTCTGTATGCGATTTTAACGCCCTATAAGTGCGGACACTTTTTAGTACAAACCCGATGTCCATTTGTTGGTAGGTCAATGATGTGCTTGTTGTCGTATCTTTGTATTTGGTTTTTCATATTTTATTTATTTATTTCTTAAATTTGTATTTTAAATTGTAATACTGAGACATTGAGAATATAAAATAAAGGATTATATTCTATTTTGAGCCACTGTAATACATAAACAAATAGTGCTGACGTAAAAAAACCAAATTAGTACTACATACCTGAACACCGCTAAGACATGAAGCGCTGCAACTTGTGTACCCTTTTTCTTTCCAGGAGTACGATTTTCCAGGAGAGCCTGGAGCTACACGGATGTTGCTAGACGTACCAAAGGCCAATGACCTGCTGGAAAGGAACCCGTTTATTAATATTAACTTGTTATCGATGCTATACCTTTCTCTATCTAGAGCGCGAGATCTCTTTAAGGTATCCATACTTTTGTCTCTAGATTACAGATTGGAATAATAATAAGTTATATATATCGTATTACTAACTTAGTCATGAAACCAAGTTAGTCCTTAATAATGTCCACAAAATAATGGAAAAATGTGGTCAGTCATAAGTATGATCACAATAAAATAGTTTTGCCAAAACAGAAAAATGGACAGTGCAATACATTGGTAAACATAGTTAGCATTTTATGATAAAAAAGTTAATTACGTCTATATAAAACCATCGTTCTGATAATCTTCAATAAAATAAAATAACAGTGACAAATTGTAAATATGTAGTAATCTTATCAAAATAAATACCAGTATCAAGTTCCAGGTAATATTTTTATCAAACGGTCACTTATCAATGATAATACTATAAATAATCCGTCATTTAACATGGAAACTCCGTCAAGTGAACGTAAAATTCCACATAAAATGTCTCTAGACGTTAATATCAGTGAACCTGAAGAATTTGATGATGTGGAAATACATAATTGCTTGAGAGAAGTTGCTAAAGCAAAAGGAATAGATAATTTCGATTATAATGTTGAATTTGCGTGTGGTAAAGGTGATAATTACATTGCAAATATTTTTCGAGTTCTCATCAATGATACTGAGAAGGAAAATAATTTACGTGTGATTGTAAAAACCCTTGTGAGAACGTCAAGGCAAGATACATTTTATGAGTTGCACAAACGTGAAGTGGCAGTTTATAACGAAGTTATACCGATATTTGAAACTATACAACAGCATTTGGGAGACGATAAGGTTATATTTCCCAAGTGCTTATATTCAAATGCAGAGAAGGGGAAGGAAATTTTAATATTAGAGGATTTGGTGGCGCAAGGCTTTGCAATTGATAGAAAGTTGTTGAACTTTGAAAAACTGGACTATTTACAGGTCCGATTGGTGTTGACAGAACTTGCAAAATTTCATTCTTTATCTTTTATCTGTGAAGATAAAAAAAATGAATCCTTTGACAAACTAAAGGGAAAGTTTGACGACATCATTTTCGAAAAAACTTTCTTAGACAAAAGCAAGTTGAAGGATTATTTTCTAGACTGTTATGAAATATCTTTGAAAGTAATAAACAATTTGGATGCAAAGGAAAAGTTAGAGCAAGTGAAAAGCAAGTTATTACCGATTATGAGAAAGTACGTGCAACCATCAAAGTATAACGTATTATGCCATGGGGATTGTTGGATAAATAATGTTCTTTTTAAACATCAGGTGAGTATATTATCATAATATTTCACTTTTAGTAATAAGAGAAGAGAATTTGCTCGGTTTCATTACATCGTGATCGCGATCGTGTTTTACTACAGTTGTCGCATTAAGCCGATTTGACGTCGACGCGGCCGATCAGCCGTCATTAGCTGCGAACGGACGCCATGACAAATTCGCAGGAAGCAGGTTCGTTGCCGACTTGTGTCGAGCCAATGCGAAACGCGCATCTTTTTCCCTCTTAGTTCATGGACATAAAGCTTTTTTGATCAGCTTAATGCGAAGCTGGCATTTATCTGGTAATCCCTAATCTGGTACTTAAAGCACAGATTTAGTTAGTAATAGTGTAGCTCATATATTTGTTTTTTTTTTTCAGGAAATGAAGCCAAGTCAAGCATGCTTTCTAGATTTCCAAGCAATGAGCTACGCCAGTCCAGTTCTCGATATTATCCACTTCTTATACGTTTGCACTGACTCTGCATTCAGATTTGAACATTTAGATACACTTCTAATCGTTTACCATGAAAGTTTAAAATCTGCATTAAGAATAAATGACATTGATATTAAAAAAGTTTATCCTATAGAAGATTTTGAAAATGATTTTCAAGAACATTTACCTTTTGGTTTGTTAATAGCTCTTTTGGAACTTAGATTGGTCATACCTAATAATGACGACGATTACAAATCAAAAATGAGTAATTTTGGTTCAAAACTTGATATTTCCGAAGAAGTAGAGACACCTAATTTGTTTGAATTAGCTATCAATGATGTTGTTAATGAAAGTATTGAGAATCGTGTTTTGGATAAACTTGTTGATGAAATAAAGAATGTAAACTAGTCAATGGAGTTTTTTGATACACGTTTTAAATTACGAATGAACTATTAATGGATTTTCCGTAAAAAAGTTAGCTTAAGACTCTGAAATGGACCTCTGTAGGTTATCTGGATTCCTCACCACACAGCAAAATTTTGAATTAGTATATTTCCATACACAAAAATGAGATTTGATGGAAAATTTTAATACCAGTGTTAATGACACCGTATTTTACAATTAACTGAGAATCACGCCAACCTTTTTTAAAGGTTTAAATTTTTATTAAAAAAACGAAACAAAAGAGTGACAATAAGTAATAACTGAAGTACTAGAAGTAAGATTACAATGAAATTGGAACCCCGCGACTCATAATACACTGCTAACGTACGTCATACGTTGCAAACGGTTACTACAAGCACTTTGGTCTGCTATTCTTAAGTACTTTTTATTTCAATAATATATTTTTTTGAGCTTATAACTTACCTGTCTCCACCACCATAAGATGGCACACTAGAATCTCCAAAAGAAGTTCCATAAGCCATCGAACAAGGTTCCATTACACATCTCTCCGTTTCTTCAGCAGGTTTCGGCCCCATACATTTGTTATCTGGAAGTTTCGCGATTGTTCTCGAAAATTCTAAAAAGATCTTGCAGTGGACTTCTTTCTTTCGCCAACCTTCTCCACAGGTGACACTGCATGGGCCCCAGTCTTCGTCTTTGATGTAGCTGCAGAAAGACAGAATATTAACATCGTCTTTAAGCATAGAGTGATAGTTGGTGTAGGTTTGTTTTGACTTGTTTTTTGAGACCATTCAATACTATTGATTCCACAGTGTGCTGTGGAGTGTATGTAGTTTCGATCAATTTGGTAATTTTTACAGAGTGTCCAATCATAATAATTGCACTACAGCTGTTTTATTTAGATTTAAAAAAGCAAATAAGTCTAATGTTCCTAGACAGAACGTGGATGTTTGATACTTACAATCGTTACTAGAATATAGAAGGACATTACAAAATTTTGTTTTCTATTGCAAAGTAATTTTAACGCGATTTAGATGATTGATTATCCAACGTCATCGTTTGATACCTATACGGAGCACTTGTATTTATGATGGCACTTTATGATACTCGTAAACAGGTGTAGGTGATGAAATGGACATTTTTTCTTATCATGCCCATTAATCTTATATTTAACGTCAAATAATGATAAAAAAAACCTTCACAAGATATTGAAGCTTCAGAAGTACTGTTTACACGATAAAGATGAATGCTACTGTCTTAGGTAATAGAAAAGCAGATACAAAACTTATATTTTGTTCAAATTGTATTGGTTAGAGACCTTGTATGTGGGAGTCTTTATTCATATTCATTATAAGTTGTGGTATTACAAAAAAACAAGTCAAAACGTAAGTAACTAAGCTATAACAATCTATAGAGAAAAGATCACACACTTTTCAGTACATGCGAGGTGCTTAGGGAACTACGAATCCTATAAATCATCTGGCTGGTATATGTAGAAGTAATGCACCAGTGTTTGTTTGTTTTTCACCAATATGCCACCTGTAAACTCGAAAACTTTGTTAAGATCCCTTTTATACAACTAATGTTGAAACACTGTGGTAAGTTTTAAAAAATCTGTAGCCGTGTTTTGTGTGCCAGAAATGTTAAGAGTTTTTTTTTTGGAAAAGTGTAGAAAAGTGTGGAAGCAAAGAAAAGAACTGTTTATGTGCAAGGTAAATTCAAAATTGTGCAGTGCAGAAGAAAAAGACAAAGTAAGTGTAGAGTTTGTGGAAATCGGTAGAAAAGTTGAAAATGGTACAATGTAGGGATGTAATAAGATTGACCGGTGTAAGCTCGCTCCTTCTATGCTATCATAGTGTGATCGTAGAAGCTGATCAACAACTTAGGTAGAGGTGTGAGGAAGGGACAGCAAACTTTCCATTCCTCTGTCCTAATCAGGTCCTAACTGTCAACTTCAACACTCTGAAGTTCAGAGCTAAATATACTATACAGAATTGTATAGGTACTCATTCTCTTGTTGCAGTTTTGAAAATTTCATAAAATTCTATGCATATGAAATGAAACTATTTTTCGGGATTTAAATAGCTTACATTTGTTTTTTCAAACAAACCATCGTTTCGGGCCCTTTACAGGTCCCATGGTCACGGTTGGCTGAGGTAGTACAGTCATTAACCAGTTATATCAAATATTAATGACCCTTTTTTTTTAATAATTAAAAAAAAAATTAAAAATAAGGTAATGACTCTTGTAACTATAGTGATATAGTTACAAAAGTTATTAATGAATTATTTTTATTTTACAAAAAAACTTTCCAATTTATGTAGTACGTAACGTAATGTAGCACGTTTCATAAATTATTTTATTGAATGAATTTTGATTATTTTAATTTATTATTAATTAATAATAGAAATTAGAATAAATTAAAACATATTAATTAGTACTGCAGTCTTATGTCTGTTTGGAATTTTTCATCAGGGGAAATACTGGATCCCAAACTGGTGGTACGGAGAAACCATTTTCCCTTTTTCCTCTCGCAGCATTCTGGGTAGATAACGGACTTCTTTGCACGGTTCTGGGGTTTGTCAAACTGCATTGAATGTGTAGGTTTATCCATGACATACTTGCAAATTGCAGACTTGTTTACGCAACGGTAAACAAATAAACGCGATTTAAATCCGGAAAAATAGTTTCATTTCCTACGTGTAACAATCGCGAAAACCTAAATCCAAAATCCATTGATAATTTGGTAATCAGAGCGCTCCCAGCTCTGTTTGTTGGCGGCATAATGTTCTCTTGAAAATTATGATAGGCTCATGTTTGTCCTCAATCCCACCTGATAGTAATTGAAGATTTGGACAAGGCCAGAACACGATACCTTGAACAGGTCTAGGTAACTTGAATCTCCTTTGAATATATATAAACGAAGTTGTCTAAAGACATATATTTACTGTCAACTGCATTGACTGTTGAATATTGCTCAATTTACATTGCTGTGGGTCGGAATGGAATGGAATGGAATGGAGGCTTTGTCGCCTTGAGGCTGTAGTTACGTCGTCGTTTGACGTCACACTGCGCCTGCCTTCGCGCCACTTCTCGCGGATTCACCAGGCGTCGCCTAGGCAGCTGCGGAAATTCCCGCGAATGCGCGAAAATTCGCCGGAAGACGCGCGACTAGTTTTTTTTAGCTCGTATCTAGTTTGTACGTTACATTATTTGACATTTTTACACAATCTCCTTACAAAAATTCGCTTCCATTCCGATCCGCCGTAATGCAAATTGAGCCTAACAGAGAAGAGCGGAATCATTATGTCTTCCATCATCACCGTCTACCATAAGCCAATCTAGCTTAAGATGGTCGCTCATTTAACACCTCGATCCTTAACAAAACATTATGGCGCACTGTTGCCGCGCAGCCCACTTGAGTATTTCGTATTGCAAAATACATTGTGCTTAACCAGATTTACTGATCAATATTCAATGTTTTACTCTGAATCGAGGTGTAGCTGAGCAGTACCTACTAGTGAACATAGATTATAAGGCAGTCAGGTCTATCTATGCCTACGTCTTGCAGATCATTAAAAGGTCGAACTTAGGACAGTCAACCTATAGTATGAGAGAAAAACAGTGAGTGTCATTGGAGGTAGCAAATCCGTGTTGCTTTGTTTGTATAGTGATCTATTTACACAGTGAAACGTCTATTCTAACAATTGTAATGACGACATTCACTCAGGTTTAGGAATCTAATTTAACGACCACTATAAAACTCTTGAGTCATACGAAACACGACTCTTGTGCATTGAAATTGGATTTGAAAATCGTTTGTCGTTTGACTCATAAAATACAAGCTATTAAACAAAAGGTTGCTAAGGCTAACAGCCATTGGACCGTGTAAATGAAGAGGGGTAATGTTATTTCTTGTAAGGCGCGATTTTCGTTAGAAAAGACGAAGAAAGTAGATATGTAACAGACGCTATTATTCCAATCATACATAGCAATCTTTGTGTATGCCCTGAGGCTATTATACCATTTGTATTCGAAGTTCTATTCAAATGTGAGATCCGTTACCAACCAAAGAAGAGCTGTTTCAGTTAATATCTCCATGGTGCTTGATCAAAGTAACGATATACCTTGGAGATAGTCATCAAGCAGGTTGCCAATTATGCTAATTTTTTTGAAACCACAGGTCATGGTAATCCCACCGAGACTCCATTGATTATGATAATATTTGTTATTGCTAAAATCTAGTTGCATGGCAGCTTAGTCTCAATACAGTGTCAGTGGAATGGCAGCGATGGCATTTATTCATTCATTGAATCAATAACGATCGATGTTTCCTTACTACATCGAGTATATAACCAGAAATAGAGACGAAGTGTCATTTAATTTGTTTGTTTAACTATTCTATTAAATCATTACGGTGACACTCGCGCTCCGATTGGCCAGCCCGAATTCGAAACAATTGACGGGTGTTGTCATCAAATCGACCAGTTTAACTTGAGCTTTGCTATAATGGACGAAAATTGAAAAAATACCTTGTTTTTTCCCACACCACCGAATGGAACAGCCAGCCATAATTAGAGATATTATCTTTATTACAATAAATACAGCATATTTTTGGAATATACGGAGACGTACATACAGGTCAGTTGTTAGCGCTGTACTATTTCAGCCTTCTAATTTGTGATTTCAGCGCCAACGAGAGTTGATATTTAAAAGTGATATAAGGCCCATTTGCCTGATGAGTTGCCAGGGATGGATGGCCTTTATTTCGACTCTATTTCTGGTTATATACTCAATGCCTTACTAAAACCACATTGGAAATTACTATGCATATCTTAATTTTTATGTTGTTTAGTCTTCAAATTGGATATATGACGTGCCATCGACTTGCCATTGAAAAACTGAACACCGAAAAATTGCAATGGCAGTTGAATTGTAGCTCGATTGCTAGCCGCAAAGTTGAGAGAACTTTTAACAGAATACGAAACACGACTGAGATTATTTTAAATTAGCAGATTTGGGGTCCAATTATTTCATTCACTGTTACAAAACTGCCTAATGACTTTACCATCTCATTTAGTCGTGAGAGCGTGACCATGGGACTTGTAAAGAGCTGAAACGCTGCCGCTGGTTTATTTGAAAAATATACACGATTCAGATCTCGAGAAAAGAATAGTTCCATTTCGAGTGTGAAACAATCGCGAAAACCTAAAAACTCGATATCGATATTTGGTTCGTTCCCAAACATACCGCAGGTCTCCACTCTACTTTGTTAATGGGACCTGAAATCGTTGCGCTAGTATTGATTTTTAATATCAATGTTCGCGTGTGTGTTTTTAATCAATTTCGTAACATGACGAGGGTTACAATGGAACTTTTTGCCTTTACAAAAAATGGTTAATCGTTACGATTGTTTTTTGTTTTATATAATTAAGGCATGTATTATTTAAAATCAATCTCTGTCAATACAGAGCTTGTAAGTTCGTTGTAGGCATATAGTGCGTATCGGCTCAGAGGTCGTTTAGATATCGAGAAGTATCTCATCTTGATAAGTTCTCCAGGCTATAAGCACCATGGATGATAACATTTCATTTGACTCTGTATTTGATTGGTTAGGGCTGAACAATCTTGTGTCGTAGCTTAAATGTCTATACAACCTCAAATGGCTTTGGGTGATCCGCATAACAGTGAGAGTGTCGAATCAA